GTATACCTCACTTTCTAAAATTTGAATATATACATTTTACCTTATGTAATAAACATACCATAATTTAATTTAATTTATTTTACAGCTGTTTATTTTAAGCTACTTTTTATTTTTTACTATTTCATTATTTATATTTTTAATTTTATATTTATTGTTATGATGTTTAACTGTACTTTCTGTGCTTATCTTTAAGTTATTGTTACACTTATACAAGTACTTATTGTTTCTTTCCTTTTTTATTATTAAGATATAGTGTAAACAGTTGTTGATAGGCCTTTTAAAAATAAAAAAAAATAAAAGAAAAATAAAATCTCTGCGATACTATTGGGGTGTAGATGGATTACCTTATAGGGTCCTTTGAAGACAGGCTTTGTCCTGTCATTCCGCGCTGTCTTTGCCACCTGCTTATATACTATTTCACTAACCTTGAAAGATACTTCTTCAGCATCTCGGCTTCTTCTCGCGATAACCTGTTCTATGTTACCGGACATGTAAGCTGCAATACACTCCTGTATCGCTTTTACTTTTATTCGGTGATTGAGTACATAATCCTGGTAGAATTCCTTCGGGTTAAACATTTCTAAGGTATTTCGAGATTCTGTGTGATCAAATAGCAGTTCATGTGGTTTATAGCCTGTTACGAAATGTATCCCGTTATTGTATCCTATGATCACGTACTTCATAATATGTTGAATGGGGTTGTCTTTGTTAGTTATTTTTTGTATATAATTTAATTCACAACTACTATTTCTATTTAAATTTTTAGAGTAAATATCTAATCTAATAGGGGCTTTGTTTGAAATATATTTTTTATCAGCTTTTAAGTTAATACCAGATCTTCTAAACGTCCCGTTCTTAACGTTAACTATCGCTGCGGGTGATTTTAAGCCATCAGACCAATAGAAATCGTGATATAAGTACTGTCCTTCTATGTAATGGGTCTTGAATGTCATTAACTTTTCGCCTCTAGGTTCTTCTTTAAGCTTTTGGTATGGGTAGTTAAAATATATCGGTATATCCGCTGTTGAGGTGTGTAACGAGTTATTATTTAAATTAATGTTACTTTTTAATTTTCGCAACAAGTCAAATCCGATTAGACCTTTGTATTTTGGATCGAAATCAAAAATTAAAAATTTATGCGTAATATTGCTATTAAACGCGGGTGGTAAGGGCAAATAGACCACATGATCATGACGCGAAACAGTATGTGCCGTTGATATTTCAAAGGGTTCATAATCTACACACTGTTCAAAGCTAGAATCACGAATAACATCGGGTGAAATAGTAGAGTGACTTGTTCCTGTATCTACTAAAAATTTACCTTGAAATTCAGGTAGCTTGATGTAGGGGTGGTGGTCTTTATCTTGGAAGTTCATCTCTACCAGCTCTGGTCGTCCTGTCTCCTCCAAAGGAGAAACCTGGTTGGAGTCTTGCTTGTTAAAGTAAACATCAGTATCGAAGTCATCGCTGTCGACCGGTTGAATACTATTCTGATACTCACCTTCGTTGGAGTATAATTGCGTATGGTTAGTCATCTGACTGGGAGTGTAAAAGATCTCCTCGGTGGTGAACTGCGGTCTTGGAGTCTTGTTTACAGACCTCATAATCACGTCAGAAGGCTTTTGATGGGTTACCTGTTGTTTAGTTATGTTTGGCTGGTCCCTGAAATTGCTGCTTCTGAAGTTGCCTGAGCCACCTGTTCTAAAGTTACCTGAAGTTGGTTGTGGTATCCAGGGTTGCATTGGCTGTACCCACTGCTGCCGTTGTTCAGGGGCTGCTCTATTATTGTGGCTAAAAAGGGGTTGTGGCATATGAAGCGCTAAATAAGTAGGCGCCATATACGGGTTACCATAATTTTGATATGGGTAATTAGGGTTCATTTTAAATAACTCCTTCGCCTTAGCTTGAAATGTTGACAGTGTATTAAAATTAGTGTCTTTATTATATTCAAGCCTAGCCTCTTCCTGTTTAGCCGCTATTATAGCCAGCTCTAACGTATCGGGTTTAGCGATTCTTAGTCCGAATGAGACATGGAAGTCTAATTGATCAATATATTGTTCTATGACCATGTTCTCATAGAATTTTTTATTGCTATGACTGCCTATCAAGAGTAAGGTGTCTAGCAATTCTCTAAGCCGTTTTCCGAAGTTCTCGGCATCCTCCTGTCTAGAACGGCGAGTATGTGTAAGTTCTTGCATCACCTGAAACTCATTTCGCGGTTGACGGAGTCCTCTAATAAGAGCATTTTTAATGGATTCCCACGTATCTAAATATTCCTCATAGGCTAAGGCTTCTACAGCGGTGTCGCTAAGCCTACTCTTAATAAGACAACTTACTAACGGGTGTGTCCGAGCATGTTCGTCTAGCAATAAATTCAGTATATTTTCGACTTCGCGAATATAGTGACTTAATAGTTTAGGATTCCCATCATATCGAGGCATTAAATCCACTATCAACTTAAAATTCGTATTGAAATCTTTTAAAGACATTGTTTCTCACTAACTTACGATTCCCGTTAACATAAAACAATAGCGATACGTATTAAGTACAGTAAATTCCTGATTCTAAGGAGTTTAATGAACAATGGAATGACGCTCGCGTTCGTTCAAAGTATCGGATGTCTCGTGCGATTGTAGCTAACTGACAAACGAACTGATGATAATTTTAAACAAAGTTATTGATTTTATTATGTATTTTAATTTGTTGTATTTATTTTAACTTCTTATTTAAATAATTTATTGTTGATCTTATTATTATAAATATACTAATAGAATGGGAAATGTCTGTTGCGATTAAAGCTTATAGACATACACACTCAATAAAAAAAAAAATACCTAAATTAAGACAGGAAATAGAGCAGGAACACTTGGATAACTAGAGTACTTACCCCAGGATGTTCTGCATCTCCTGACGAGTCCTTGCCCGATCGCGCGATTGAGGTTCTTTAGGATCGCTCAAGGTACGATTTGAGAACCGTGACACAATCGTAATAGAACATTTGATTCAATACGAAAGTGCTGCGATCCTACCGACTGCGCCAGTTAAGTAATCGGCGATCGGTATTCCAATAAAAAAAGATTTATTTAATTAATTACAAGGTGTTAACTGTATGACAATTTGGAATGGACTGATTTATAATTACAAAAACTTATGAACTTAAACTAATGGTGTCAGCGTTCCTTCGATGCGTCTTCGCCGTGCTGAGACTGCAGTAATCGCGGTTATGACGTGCTAACTAGGGGCATCGTAAAATAGAAAGGAGGTAAAATAATTGACTTTGTTCTCTTTGTTTCTTCATGTGTCACGGAAAGATCATTTTAATTCGTTTATTAAAGCAACAAAAAAGTGAGCGCTCAGTAAATTATGACAACGTAATCCTGATATAAAACAATGTGCGAAAGAAAATTAATACAAAGATTTTATGTTTAAGAGTATTCAAACATGAAATCTTTCTTTACATAGCCTTTGTGACTGTAGATACTCCAAGTTGATTATATGTCCGAAATTAATTCTGCAAAACGTTTACAGAGCTCATGAGAAATTGCTAGTGTAGCTTTGTATGTTACATTTCCTTAAATATGGAGGCATATTAATTTTCCGTTACTACTGGAGTCCAACCTTGTGGATAACTCACACCTAAGTCATGGTTATCAGTTGAGGTCAGCATAGACATTAAGATAGAAGCTAAAATTAATATGACTTCAACCGAGCATATACAGAGGTCCATTTCACAATTGTGTGCCTAATACAATTTAGTGTACTGTATTATAATAAGTTACTTATTTATTTTTAATAATCTGATGTTTTGTGCCGCGTTTTAGATATAAAGATACTGGCGATAGTTATTTACACTTTTGCTGTGCATTATTGCTCTTAACAATGTAATTAAATGTATTGGTTGTTTTTTAATAAGTTATCTTTACTTGGCTCAAACCTTCCGCCTTTACAAATACTAACATGACACACGATGAGCCCGATGCCAACTTGACCAATTAAAGGATCTACTCGTAGTTTATATGGGTTGAAAAAGATTTGATGAGCCAACATGAAAAGAGTCTAGCGTAAATAATGGAATAAATGATGATCGTTCGATTTCCACGTTTCAACTATTTGTGTGACCCACAATAGTTATTCCGCATCTGAGTGTTTTTCCATTATGTTTTTAAACATAGATTTCACGTGGACAAACACCATACAACTCAGGATAATGTTATCCTATAGTAAGGGCTATGTTTTGAAAGAAAACAAAAAAAGGAGTGCAGTTTGAGACTCAACTTAAGGCGGTTACTTCGACCCAAAACCATAAAAATACATGGAAGATGCTGGATTTGACCTAAATGCAGGAAGGAGTACTTCACGCTAAAACAGATTCTGATCTTGTTTATAGCATTACTACGATTACATGTTACGTTTTAGTTCAAACTTTTAAAGAATACGAACTGACATATTTGTGACGATGGTTTAGTTGGGATTAACGTGCTCATTTTTGAATACGGACGCAGAATTGCTGGCCTCTTTGTATTTTATTTGAGAGTACGCGAAGGGAATACGTAACTCAAAACACTTACGACGCTCAGTTTATCTCCAAAGACATTAGGTATGAAAATGTACGCGATATCAATGTTTGAGGAAAGTGAAACCATCGGCCCGCTTTCATGTACACGAACAATTTTAATATGGACTTTCAGACAATAGTCAATAAGTTGGATTGTTACCTACAACATTTCTTCACAATTTATATCAGGAATAAAAGAATTATTCATAATTTTTTTCCTCATACATTTCTAATTACATATAGAAAATCTAAACTATTTTTTTCTTTAGAATCAGTTTATATATAAGATGTTTGTCATTATTACAATTTAGATTTATATGGTGACCTTAAATAATTATTTATAATAAACCTTCTATCTTATATTAATATATCCGGTTGGATTATGTTAAAACTCATTATTAATTTAACTGTTACTGTTAATAACGAAAAATCAAACACCTCTCACCATATTAAGAAGAATAAAGTGGTGGGCCATGTGCATGGAATCATCTTCGGAAACGGAGATTCAGCCTCAAAGGTGATGGCGATATCATTCCAGTGTTGATTGATTCATCTGTAAGGAAACAATACGTTTAAATAGTTCCTTGGATTTATTGATACTGTGAGCTTCTTAAAAGTTTAATCTTTAAGATATAATACTTTTGAACTAGGGAATAAATATGACATTTCATAATTAGAGTGCATTACCAGACGTCGACAATAGAAACGAATCACGTATCAAAGAAAAAGTATCAAGTATCTCTCTAGAGTATCTAGAATATAATAAATAATTAATTTACAATACAAATTGGCTGTCTTAAAATACTCTTTATCTGTAAGTAAGCTATCAAAGAGATTTTATTTGTATAAATAATCATCTTTTTCTTTAAAGATTAAAACAACACAAATAACAGAAAGAGATGGACCCGGGGGCAGAGCAATTATTTGACCCAAACGACAGTCCAACTTCGATCCTATAGCTTAACACTCACGTCATATCAAGTTAATTTAATAAAATGTTGGTCCTTGTATTTGACGCTTCATTTCATACTCGACTACTTGTCAAGTAATTTACATGCATATTTGAAAATATATCCACTTAAATTAATTTACATCCAGATTTAAATGAATTAATTAATCGCATGAAATTAGTATTTAAAGTTAAGGGTTCCTTAATTGAAGAGTATCGTTTTAACTTTGCTTTCATAAATTTAATGTCGATAACACGAATTGAGTCTATAACAAATCTTCATTGCTTTCAGAAATTTCAAAACTTGGTGACCAAACAAAAGATTTGATCGGAAATGTGAACTTTAATTGTTAAGTAATTATTTAAGAATACTTAATTCATATGGATTTTCCAAACAGAAACAAGATTTCTGTGTATGAAATATATCTGCGGTTATTCTGCCATGGAGCCGTGATAGCTAATAGTCCGGGCGTTTTTAATTCTGTGTACGCGAGCAACCTGAGTACGATCCCCGGTGCCGGCACCAATGAAATTGTTAATTTTAAGTGCTGCTTATCACGTGGTCAGAGGTGAAGGAAAACATCGACCATGAGGAAACCTGCATGTTATCGAAAAAAAAAAAAAATATTTCGGAGATATGTGAAGTCCACCAATCACAAAGTGGGGCCGCATGTTGGACTATTTATGGGCATGGTCATTTATAGGCTGTTACTTTACTTTTTATTCTTCCACATGCACTGCCATTGTTGTTCTTTATTGTAGTTGATTTAATATGTGAATCTAGGCTCTGTAGCTCCAATTATATTTCCTTTGTGACATCGATGATAAAAATAATGACGTAATCGATAATTTCAACTGCAGTAACATTTTATTTCATAACTGGTTATTATTGTATAGACCTTAGTGAAGACGTTTTGCATTCTCTCCCCAAATTGAATTATATTAAACTCAAAGCATACATGTATGCTGCGTTCACTAGATATTTACATATATAATATATATTGATTGATTGATTGATTGAATCTACTTTATTGTACACAAGGAAATACAAGGAAGAAGATACCGGAAAGATGGTGTACATACAGGCGGCCTTATTGCTAAGGTAGCAATTGCTTGCAGGCAACATTAGAGTATAGGATTACATAATAAAGTTGCGGGATAGTGGTGCAAAAATAATTACATTAATATATATGTAAGAAAATAAATCCATGAAATATAATACATATCTATATAATAACAAATACTTATACTACAATACAATAAATACAATATAAAAAATACAAATACATATATATATATGCATAGTAACAAATAATTATTAATAAGTGTGTAAGTAGCAAAAAAAAAACTGACTACCAAAGCTCAGAGGAAAAAGTAACGTTGGGATGAAATTAAACAGGAAGGAAAAGGAGATGGGCTTTCAGGTGCTTCTTAAAAGTGTAAAGGGACGGGGCTTGTCTTATAGACACGGGGAGTGAGTTCCAGAGCTTACAGCTTGGACGGTAAAAGAAAAGGCATAGAAATTAGTGGTATGAGAAGGCATAGAAAGTGAGCGATAACGAGAAGAACGGAGTGAACGATCAATAGAAATGGACTGGTATTCAAAACTTTCTTTTAGATACGAAGAAGTCGAAGGGTTAAACAGGATAGAATAAAGTAGGGAGAGAACGTGAAAATCCCTTCGACGACGGATCGGAATCCAATTTAACTGAGTACGATAAGAAGAGACATGGTCGTACTTGCGTAGGTTGAAGATAAATCTAATAGAAAGGTTTTGGAGGCGCTCGAGTTTACTAAGCATCTCTTCTGTAAGGTTGGGATTAGATGTATCAGCGTAATCAAGGATAGATAGAAGTAAGGTCTGTACAAGCGAGATTTTTGTGCTGGTCGGTAAGGTATATATGCATAGTTATTTTGATATGGGCTAAATAGTTATCGCATCCGTAAAAAGTACATCAGCTATCGTACCGCATAAGCTCATTGTCATTAATACATAAAGACATAAATATCAGCTTGGCGATTAAACGGTCAGTAGGTCGAACTCCTTGGTGTCGATTCTAATGCAATCGATAGTGTTATTGAATATTACATTAGCTGCGCATCAACAACAGCCGGTGTCTTACCCTTGTCTACTTACATATTCTGATTGTCTTTTTTTATGTGAGGAGGTGGCAACCGAGCGATTCACCTGATGTTAAGTGATAACCGTCGCTCATGGACCCTTTCATAAAGTGGGCACCGGTTACCTCACTCACTAGACGATACGCGGAAGTATGACGCTTCCACTTCACGCCGGACTTCTGTGAGATCATGTTACTTACCCGGACGGACCTGCACATTCGTGCAACAGTGAATACTGTTGCGTGGCCCTATTTAATTGTTGTCACAGTCTGATTGTCCCTACGCTATTAAATTTGTACAAGTTTTTTCAATAGTCGGTGCTATATAATTGCTTAATGAGATCGTGGCATTCAAAGACCCATTTCTTGTATCAGTAAGCTTTCGGGATTTTGGAATTCTTACAACTTAATTCTCTTAGCAGGCTATGGAGCGGGCTATGTCTGGGTATTTCTCAGCCTGATAGAGTTTGCAATGAAGACATCTACAGAAGAACAAAGATAAACGACATAGCTCAGAAGGTTAGTAAGCTGAAGTGGAGATAAGTCATGTAGCTCGTAGACCCAATAACCGTTGGGGAAGAAAGGTTCTCGTGTGGCAGCCTCGGTACTAGCTGGTACTCGGACATAGCAGTGTAGGACGAGCCCCCAATGAAATGTGCGAAAAGTCGATGGATGCAGATGATTCATGATCGTACTTCGTGGTACTCTGTGGGCCTATATCCAGCAGTGAACTGACTGAAATAATAATGATGATGATATCTTAATTCACCGGTATATACGCAACAAAGCGCGTCACTTGCCACGGATTTCGAAAGAATTATTAAATACAAATTATCTAATAAACCTAATCCACGCGGCATGGTGCTAAGAACGCTAGCTACATTTCCTCGCTGAATAGTTATGCTTAACTTTTGAGCGAGAAAAGAACCAGCTCTCTTGTCACCAGCCGCGGCACGAAGCCTAGGACATAAAGTTGATGAATAAAAATAGATGTGCGTGGACCCCACGGACCTAAAGTTTCAACAGCAAATGGCACATATACATAATCTGAACACATAGACTCATATTTGCGCCATTTACTTACTTCAGCTACCTCCGATGCCACCCCGACCCGGACCGAAGTACCTCTTAGATGAAAGGCAGCCAAAGTGTCTACACAAGTAGCGTAGCGCCAAATAAGAGCTTCGCCTCTCTCCCAAGGGATCAAAGTTAAACCATCGGGTCTCTTACCATCGTCACGAAAAATGCCACAGGGCTCTAAAATAGATGGAATATTGATGGAAACAAGTGCCCTACAGATGATGTCGTTCAGGGAACCGTGGCGGGAAAAATGGCCGGCACTTTTTTGACAAGAAAGCCCGTGGAGACCAAATTTGTCTACACTGACACCACAAGGGTATTGGGTGACAAATCGGTGCACCTAGACGGATTCCTACAGTAATGCGTAAGCTTTCATCGTCAAGTAATGTGCCCAAGTTACTTGATGGTAAAGCGTGAAGCCAATAACTCAATTCTTTAGATGAGACGACTAGGAAACGGGCACGCTCTAAATTACTTTCTAAAGATTGAAACCTATCTTTCTGTACTCCACGCACCAAAGGAACATCCCACTGTTTTTGTAGGTTTGCTCCCAGTGGGATATTTTCGTTGGAGCAGATAGACAGCCAAGACATCCTTGCCTCCTCGGCATAGGAAAGTTCTGAATTGCGATTAAGGATATTATTACATAAATTATTTACTCTATGCACGGAAGTAAGGAAGGCAGGTAGAGCGACACTAGAAATTTTCAATGAATTGCCAACGTAGCTTGAGTCTAGCTGATTACATTAAGAGATAAATTTATATTTTTTTCTAGAGGTGATTTAAGGTGAAAATCAATTTCGTTCAAAAAGTCACTGCATTTCCAAACTGGACTCGAGCGAAGGAGGTACGTAAATTTAGGTACAAGAATACTATTGGTACAAGAATTTAGTAAAAATATTTGTTAACATGATCTAAAAATTGATTTGATTTAACTTTAATTTTAATAGAGGTTCCTTACATGGTATTAAAAAAGGGAAAACCTAAGAGGTAAAGTAAATCTAAACGGACTATATTAATTCCTGATATGATAGAGCTAAAGAGAAATCTTTTCGGAAAAGAAAAGTTCACATTTGAAGTTATTTAAATCGAGACCGATATTTTTAAATTGTCTAATAATTTCGATAAGATCATTTTGTACATCGTCAACTTTACCTTCCAGCGTACTATCGTCTAGGTACCAGTTATTAAGTTTAGATTTCAATTTTGAAATAATTGGATGAATTCAAAGAATATTATGTAATTTAATAAATAATTTTATATAGATTTAATCTTGTAAATATTAGATAAATAAATATTATTCCCATCCTATTAATTACAATATTTAACTAATTTCTCAG